AAACTAATGCTTTTTCCATATACCTCTATTTTAAGGAAGGTGGTCCCAGCTGGCAGATTCTCTTCCACAACAACAGTGTATGTTGAATTGGTGAACACTGGACTATTGTCATCAATATCCAAAACCTTGATGGCCAGTGTTAGAGTTGAATGACGAGGGTATACTGCTCCATCAGTTGCCACCACAACAAGTTCATAGTAGTCCCTGACTTCTCTATTAAGCTTCACTGCAGTGTAAATGCTCCCATTGGATGTGATGCGGAAAAGATTGTTGAAGTTACCCAAACTGTAGTGCACTTGGCCATTTATTCCAGCATCAGGGTCTGTTGCCTAAAAGAAATCAAAAACAAAGAATTCACACAGTAGCTTCTGGTATGTTCTGACATATTATGACATTTTCCTAATCAGATATTCTTTTTATATCTAATGAGAAAATTTAAAAGATAATGAAGATGAAATGCACAGTCCAAAACATGAAAAGGAATATACATAATTTAGTTAGCATACTCATTCAAAATGAGCATAACTTACACATTGATAACATCATTAGCATTACAATAAGATATTATGAAAATACATATTATAAAAATACTGAATGTTTCATGTATTATTTTTAATAGATTTGAATGCCAAAGTAAGACAAAAATTTATTTTTTAATTAAAGCAATTTCCTGAGTAATAACTTAAGTGTCTATGTGTTTGCATTCAAATTCTTTTTATATTCATTTTCATATTTAAATATATTTTAGCACTATGTGTTTTTACCTCATTAATTCTCTTGATGTTTTTAGTGAGAAAATATTGGTCCCATTTTGAGACACTTTAGGTCACAAAATCAGTCATTTATGCAATCAGTAATTTAAAATGACACTTGCTTGAGTTATTTTCTATTCATCCACATAATTGAAGGTTTATTGATAAAATATTTCAATTTAATTACTATGGCTGATGTGTGTGTATGTGTGTGTGACTGTGTGAGTGGGTGTATATTTGGAGGGGAGAGTGTTGTGTATGTGTTCCTCTATAAATATCCAGCTGATATCTCCATTAGGACTCCCAAATATAACTATACAAATTTTACTTGACTTACTATTGGATTACATCCTGATCAACCTATTGTATATTGAAAATGTTGTAAGTAAAAATTCATTTAATACATCTAACCTACTGAATTTCATAGCTTAGCAACACAGTACACAGTAGAGCATTGGTTATTTACACTCAAGAAAGCATGACTAAGTGAGAGCTGTTCCTCTCTTGATGCTGCCCATCATCTTGAAAGAGTATTATACAACATATTGGTAGCCTTGGAAGAGATCAAAATTAAAATTTTGATGGACAGTTTTTATCGAAGAATATGAATTGCTTTTGCACTATGGCCAAATTGGAAAAAAAAAGAAAAAAGACAAATTGAACCATTATACATCAAGGGACTGCCTATATTGGTTTTCTTTTCTTTTTTTTTTCCCCTGTATTGGTTTTCTAGTCTGTATCAGGTACTGTAACAAATTACCAGCTTATCAGCTTCTGCAAAACAAGTTTATTATTTTAAAGGTCTGCAGGTAAGTTAAATATGGGTCTCACCTGGTTAAAATCAAAGTATAAGAAAGACTATGTTCTATGGAGTCTCTAAGGGAAAACTAATTTCCTTACTCACTCAAGTTGTGGACAGAACTCAATTGCTTGAGGTTGTAGAACTGAAATCCTCACTGTTTTAGTGGTTGACATGTGAGGACCAATCCCATCCTTTTAGCTGCCATTCACATCCTGTGACTCCTGGCACACTGCCTCATCTATAAGAGCAGCAGTGGTGGCCAATTCCTCGGGATTTTTTTGAATTGCTCTTTTTCCATCTCATCTCTGACTCGTTCTTCAGTCACCCTATCGCATTTACTGGGCTTACATGATTCAGTAGGCTTACGTTGACAATCCAGGGTAATGTTATCATCTCAAAGTCCTCAGTTTTAATCACACTTGTTGCAAATATATAGCAATCTATACTTTCTGATAAGATGATTTTTTGAGAGAAAATATTCAAACAGATAATTGGTAGGAAGACTGAAAATAAATGTTAGATGGGTCATCCTCACAACAGGCTTTTAAAAATCTTTTTTAAATCTCTTAAATTAGCTCAAGTTTAAGTAATATGTCAAGTACACACACACACACACACACACACAGGAAGACTGAGCAGATCTACTACCACTGAATTTACTGGACATCTGGTCTTCATGAAAGGAAGTATATATGATTCTTATAGAACAAAAGACCTTAAAAAATAAAAATAAAGACCTCACTAGACAAAACTTTGAATATTTTCCAGGAAAAAAATTGTCAGATCTTAAACAGTAAGGTTAAAAAGTTAGATATATCAAAAACAACTAATTATTTAAGAATGAAATAAAATAAAGTGATTATATGAGACCATTTATTAAGCAAAGGTTTTCTGAACAACTTATGTGCACCAATTTGTTCTCTTGCTGTTTGAAAGGGAACAAGATATGATATTGATTAAGCATTGAATTCATTCCCTTTCTTGCTCATTATTACTTTATAGTGATCTACTATACAATTGTTCCTAGAAGAAGGAGGAGGAGGAGGAATAGGAGGAGGAGGAAATGGAACCTCAACTCTGGAATTCCTATACTGTGGATTCCAAATCCTGTGGAAATCTAGAAGCATGTCTATATCAGTGAGATGAATTGGGATAAAACCCCAAACGAGAGCCAGATGCTTGTTCCTCTTCTATTAAGAGGTACCTGGGTAGATAATGTGTTCTGTTTGTCAATGTTTAGTTTCACTTTAAAATACATTTGTACTGGGGCTACAGTAGTAACTCAGTGGTAGCGCACTTGCCTAGCATATGTGAAGCACTGGGTTTGTTCCTCATCACCAGATAAAAATAAATACATAAAATAAAGGTATTGTGTCCTTTTACAACTAAAACATATAAATATTTTTGCATTATTCAGATTATTAGAGAAAAATATTTCTCTTTATTTTAACACAATTTAACTAAAAGACTTATGTAGACAAAAGGAAAATATTAAACTATTAAAAAGTTGTGAACTCTTCTGCACCTCTTAATGAATCCAAGGTGAGTTTGAGCAGGAGCTTCCTCTTCTTTGTGCTTCTCCTTGACAGTAAGTAAATTAAAAGGCCATGAACTCCCATTCCCTTCTTACCTCCAAGTGGGAACCATAAAAGACATTGAGTGGAAAGGTCAGGTGAAGTTTGGTAGTGATTTTTGACATTATTAAGGGAAACATATTTTTTTTTAAATTTATTATCTGCCAACATCAAAAAATATGCAATAGTTGTTGACTTTAGTTCTTTAAAGAAGTGAATTTATTCAAGCATGGTGTAAAAGGAGAGTAGCAACTAAATGACACAAAATGAGGGTAAGGTTTTCCTCTGTCCTCACAAATGTTTCATATTTAATATTGAAGAATGACAAGTAGACTTATAGACCAAAAGGTAACAAGTTTACTTGAGTTCAAGTCACCAAAACATAAGGGAGTAAATAGGTTTCCTCAAACATTTGAGTGCTCCAATAGTGATTCCCTAGGACACCAGAATATAGATATACAAACTAGTGATTTCTTAAGGGTTTAAGTTCTAATTTTGAAGCACATATCCTTCCCATACTGACTCAATGGCCTTGAGAGAGTCAATCTCTGTAAACTTTCATCCTTCATCTGAAAAAAATATGGTGGTAATGAGTATTTATGTATCTTCTAAGAGGACTACATATTAACAACATACTTGTGTCATATTAAGCTACCCATAAAAAATGGTATCCATGTTTGCCAGGCATGGTGGTTCATGCATGTAATCCCAATGATTTGAAAGGCTGATTCAGGAGAATTGCAAGTTCAAGGCCAGACACTCAGCAAATGAGTGAGAGCTGTCTCAAAACAAAAAATAAAAAAAGACTTGGAATGTAGCCCAACATCCTTAGATTCAATTCCCAG